TCAGACTTCAACATTTCTTAAAAAACAACATCACCTAAATATTAGTCCTCCACTAATATCAATTAATTAAAAAAATATTTTTTAGTTTTATAAATTTGTAATGGATTTATGGCCATTTTTTATGTCAATATATTATTTTGTTCACCATTTTCTAGATTCACGTTTAAATAACATGTGATTAGCTTTATTTAACATATGATCTATTACATACCATAAATTTTTATTATGTGAATTTCTATATATATCACATATGATAATTAATATACATCTGAATATAAATGGCGTACTATCACATGTGATAATATTTACATCACAAAAATATATAAATGTAAATATACATAATCACATATGGTTAACAAAAATATCTACAAGCATCACAAATGAATTAATTGTTGATACCACATGTGATATTTGATGAAAATTATGATTTTTTTTTTATCAAGTGTGTATCCAGAAAAAAAATTATATAGAACTTGATAAAAAAATTATGAATTAAGTAAAATTAATAATAAATATAATCTAAATGATATAATGAGATTTTCAAGAATTTATTTAATTCAAAATGATAATTACTTTAATTTTTTAAAATTATTTTACATTTTTATTTATGATATTTTTTAATTAATAGATTATGTGTCTTATTTTTTCCTGCCTTCTCGCAAATTGATCATCTTCTCATTTGAACTTTACGTGGGGTTGTTATTTGCACCCCTACCTTTTAAAAAGTCTAAAAAGACCAAGTAAATAACATTAAATGACCTAAAAGTTTAAAAGTGACATAATTTCATCTCTCCTTCTCTCTCTTATATCCCCCTCCCTCTCTTTAACTTTTTTTTTTGTTTTTTAATTAATAAATAATAATAATAATAATTATTAGTCTTTAGTAATTATAATTTTTATTTGTATTATATATTAATCAAATTTAAAACCAATAAATTGGAAAGATTATACGTCTTGTTATTTATAAAAAATAATATATCATTTATTTTATAATTTTACATATTTTAACCATATGTATCTAGTCATATGGTTTGTCCATATTAAAATCGAAAATACTTTAAAAATTCATATGTTAATTCTTAATTTTCATTTTATCTGTATTTGTAGATCTCAGATTAACAGCAAAATAAAGATTGAATAACACTCTAATAAAATGGCATTGAAAGACAAAGTGTAGAGAAGAAACAGGTCGACCTGATTATTAAATATTGAAAACAACAAAACCTTACAATGCAACTCACTTCAGTCGACCGACTCTCATAATAATTTTTAAAACCCAAGACACCTATTTATAGGTGCCAAATACAATGTAAGCCCAAAGCCCAACTACAAAGTAATGAATATTACAATACGATACATGATTTTATAAAACTCTCAATATATTGGGGTTAATCTAGACCCAACAATATTTCCATAGAATATATTATTAATTCTTCTATAACTTTAAAAATTCAGAAAATAATCCATTATTTTTTTTCCGACTTTAAAACTTAAAATGTAACTAATTAATTCTTATTTAAGTTTTTGAATGTTTAAATAATAATTTCATCAGTTTTTCAGCAACCACTAAAAATTCAGATGATAACTCGTCATTTTTTATTAAAAATTCAGATAATAATTTGTCGTTTTTTATTAAAGATTCAAATATAAATTAGTTTAAATTGTATTATATTTTATTTATAAAAATTAGTCTAAATTGTATTATATTTTATTTTTAAAAAAACAACACTGTTATATTTAAAATATATAAAAAATAAATTTTGAAAACATTAGCTTAGAGGTGGTGATAAGAAAAAAAAACATGACTTCTTAAAAATATTAATAAAATTAATATTAGTTAAGTGATGGATTTAATTTTTATTAATATTAAAAAACCTATTTTTATGAGAATAATAATCAATAAAAATTGATAATAAAAATATAGTCAAAAACGTATTACTTATAAAATAATAATAATAATAATCACTTAAACAATTTTAAATTAATAGCATTTTATTTCTTTCTTATGTATTATATTTATAAACTTAACTTAAATAAATAAATGAATAAATAAAATATTGAAAACATAATATATATTTTACTATTGCTATAAAAAGGGAAAGAGAATTTGTATTTTCATTCACAAAAAACCACTTCAATTTCTCTCTTTACAATTTCTAACTTCTTAATGGTTAGTTGAAAAAACGAGTTTCAACTTTATCGAAATTCTAACGTTGACGTACTTTCACTCACTATCAATTAGATAGAAACGTTAACTTGATTGAGTTGTAATATTTTTACGTTTTTTATGCTTTATTTGTTGATTTATCAGTTAACTAATTTTGATGATCTTTTATTTTAAATTAAATTTATTTTTATAGCTTTAAATAATTATTTAAAACAAAATAAATATATAAATTATCAATTAGTTAAAATGTTAACATTCATAATTGATAAAAATAAAAAATAATTTTATAGTTATTTGAATTAATTTATAAATGATTAATTAATATAAAATTTATAAAACATAAATTTAGGAAAAAAAAACTAGAAAAGACCTAAATTCGAGTCATATTGATTTAGAACATAAATTTATAAAACAACTAAAACATAAATTTAGAAAAAAAAATTAGAACAAATTACTTGAAATTATTTTTTTAAAATTTTTGATAGAAAGAGGTGTAAATATCTCCATCCCTTATATAAATACATAAAAATTACTGTTTAATGCCTTTAACCAAACATCCTACTAAAAATCTAAATATAATGAAATTTTTAACCAATTAAAAATAATAATTATCCTAATTTCTAAAAATATATTTTTATTTATATAGTCATCTTCAAATACAAACCAACTAAATGTTACGATCCTTACAACCAAAGGTATTTGTGTCTTTTTAATAAAGTCGTATTTTAGGGATAATTAACTTCCTTAAATATCTCATATAATATCAAATATATCAGATTTATCTTACAAAACTATTACTTTCTTAAATATTTTATTCAGTTACCATGTGTAACAGACTCCTCACATTTTTTTCAACCGTTACGTCTCTTATATGAAAGCAAACAAATTATTGAGTCTCATATTAAATAATAACAATTTTTGTTACCCTAGTTTCATACCAGTATTGTTTCACTTATAAAACAACACATTTCATAATAACAATTCAAAATAATATTTCATATGTGAAACCCCTGGCCCAACCCATAATAATATTTTATAATAACAGTTCAATAAAAGATACATAACTTTTTTTTTTCTCAAATACATAATTTGATTTCAAGAAAAATCCCTTGTTACTTTTATCCCATTTCAGTGTATCCTTACCCAACTTTGGGAACCTTCAACCTCTGATCCTTCGACGAACTAGAGACGAAAACCACAAAGATGAAAACCAAAGACAGATACGGAAACCAAAGAATAAAACAAAGAAAAAAAACCATAGAGGAAGGAAGAATGAAAACCACTATGTATGTATGTATGTATGTATGTATGTACATACGTACGTACGTATGTATATATGTATGTGTATAAGTTCAATTGCAAACCAATTTTCGGCTGTGAACTAGGGGACAAAGGAGAAAGCGACACGTATTCCCGACATGCACATTCAGTTTGAACAACTAATATGAAGTTCATCCACATTCAGTATGAATAACGAATGTGAAGTTGATGAATTATTCATGATGAATTATACAACACTGATGATGAATAATACACAATCATTATCCATATTAAATTGATTCATCATTCATGATGAATAATATACATTCATCATTATTCATTATGAATAACCCATGGATGAATTCAATCAAGTTTTGTATATCCATATGTATTATAATTTAGCAAAACTAAAATTAAGATAATTGAAAATTTAAAATCATAATATGTTATAGAATTGATTAAAAGTTAATTAATAATCTAAAAAATAAGTTGGTATGATACAATATTACTGTAGTACACGAATTTTAATACCACATATCAATCAAGTTTAGATAGTTAGTATATGATACTACCGGTAAACTAGATTGGTACCAACAAGACTGACACAATTAAATTGGTACGTACGATTGGCATGTGAATCGGTTGGTTTGTCTTCATACAAAATGCTACAATAGGTTTATAGTAATGCTTTTGGGCATTTTGACAAGTTTTTTAGGATGCTTTTGAAATAAAATTTTGTATTCGTTATTTTATAGGACATTTTTGATAAATTCTTATAAACCATCTTCTTATAGGACACTTTTCCAAGTAACGTTGTATAAAATAACTAATATGACATTTTTTTTAAAGCGTTCTAAAATTTGTAAAAACAGCCAAAAACGTCTTATAAATATATTATAACACTATTAGATATGACGGTTTTTTGTTTCTACCTATAAAACAAGTCATATAAAACATCTTATTAGGAGGTTTAGAAATTTTAGACGTACTATAAACCTAATTTTGTTATAGTGGTGGTTGATAATTAATGCAAACGACGTTGATTTTCCTTGTGATTCAGAGCATATAAGTATAGTGGTTAGCACTGTCTTTATACGAAGAAGAACCGTGAGTTGGAATGGGTTTAGGATCGCCAAACCGGCTTAAACCCATAAAAAAAGGTGACCGTAGCGGTTGCATTGTCGGCGGCCAACCCAAGAAAACGTGCTGGAACGATCTCACGTTGAACGTTGGACGATATGAAACTCAAGAAAACAAGCTGGAACGAGTAATTGACATTGGATGATTGTAACTTCAACGATATTAAGTTGATATATTTATTTACCTTCAATTCATGTAAATATTTGTATACTATCACAAGACTAATTGTATTTTAAAGAGTTTAAAAAGGAAAAACGTCTATGCTATTTGCACATACTTTCACAATCGGTAATGTTAATTTGGTCTGAAAGCTAATTGGGCATATTTGGAGTGATGGTATTTGAACATATCACATTGAATGTTACAGGTTTAAATTGCCTTTAACATCTGCAACATGCCATTCACTAAAAAATGAAGCAAAAGTTTTGGAGTTACTTAGAAAAACAATATTAATACTTAAAACCAATAGATCAATGCAAATACAAATTGTATGAGATGATACATCATATCAGAGGGATTTCAAGGATGATTTAAATCTCAAATTACTCTCTGATCTCACCATTGATGACCACATACAAAGCCAACTTCTACAGTCCCGTAAAAGACTTTGATTCAAAGACAACAACATTAAACAAGAACCCTAATCGATTAATCAGTCTTAGATATTCAAACAACAAGGCAAGAGGGCATACGTACGTGCGGAACTTAGAAACCCTAGTTAGCTATTTATATATAAGCCCTCGTTTTTCTTAGTACGGCGAAACACCCACGTTGCCGGCGGCAAGAAAACCATCTTTCGTGTGAAGATCATCTCCTTCCTACACATTGGCCAACTCAAATTGTCAACATTCAACCAAAAACTAACTCATGATCTTGTGAGAAAGATATGATCAGTGGTATATGAACACTAGTGTTTTGTGAAATCATGTAGCATTTGGTAGAGATTGGTTTTACATTTCTAAAAAGATTAAGTGAAACAAAAAAGATTGATGATATTATGTTTTATTGAGTTTGAAAATCCATCATTATCAACTTATTATAAGTCAGAAGGGTTTAACTTCTTCAAAAACTTCTAATTAACGGTTTGGCACCGGTATAAGTTGTTTATCAAAATACACAAAAGTGTTTATTACCGGTGTCACACCGGAATAAGTCAATAAATTGTTTTTATAAACAATCTCAAACAGGCCTATAGATGGTATAAAACAGTAAGCTATTTGAAAAAGTGATTAAAATATAGAGGGCAAAGAAGCAAATACCTGTTGGCACACATTGGGTTTCTTAAGGGGTTGATCCGGCATAAGACCAAAGTGGATATGTGGAAAATGTGCCCACTGGAAAACAAGAAATTAAGACAAATAAATTCACAAAAACCCTACTTAAAAAGGGAAAATAAGAAACCCTAGAAAAACATGCTTAATAAACCAACTACATCAGATGTCTTATATTTGATTACAATCATTATTGAAATTAATATAAGACATCTGATCTGATGTAGTTGGTTTATTAAGAAATTAATACACAATAAAGAAAAATGACGAATTTATATATTTTTTTTGAATCTTACATTCTTTGCAGCTGCACTGAAGGCTTCTCGATGGCTTATATCAGGGTTTCCTGCTTTGATACGTTGAATCTCCTCCCTGCAATTTGATTTTTTTACCAGATATTTGACACCAATGTTATATAAACTTCATAAGCTTAGGGTTACCGAATCCTGGAAAAGTTGTCATATGATTTGCACAAAAATCTATGCAATATTCACATTATAATATAGATGTGATACAGGAGATAAGGCACATGTTTCTATAGTACAACATATTGGTTTTGAAGTTTAAAATTTGGATCAGTAAAATTATTTGTTTTCATAACTAAAGTTTGAGATTTAAATTGGTTAAATTAGTGTAAAAATATAAAAGATAAATAGTTTTTACAAAAGTATAAAAGATGAATAGTTTTTGCTAACAAATCTCTTCTAGCCCCCAAAATATGAACCATGTGATAGAAGACATATTAGGATTAAGAGGTATTAAATAATACATTTACCATTTAAAATTTTAGAGGATATTTAAAGTTTTTAAACTCTTAGTTTAAAAATAAAACAAACGCTTTTAATATCAAACGTCTGAACGATAGAGATATTAAAAGGTAATTTTGAAAAAACCAATCATGTGATAACTAAGAGCACCTCTTAATTATGAAGGTTTCAAGAGATGAACTCATGCAGTTTCAAGATCTGTTCGGAGAACTTTTTCAACATTTTAATTTTCCTTTTTTTTTTTTCTGTTTTTTTTGGCTTTTATTTATTTTTATTATTAATTTTTAATTTTTTTAAAAATATATTAATATGATTTAAGAAAAAATGAAAATGAAAATGAAATATAAATATAAATATTCTTAAGAATGTAAACATAAATAAGTTGTACGTTTTTCGTTTACTAAGTTAACATTAAATTGATTGAGAAATTTTTTATAATGAAGCATTTAAAACTAATTAAGTTTTTATTTATTTTAGTTTTTATTTATATTAAGAAAATTGTTTATAATATATCTTATTTACTATACTTAAATAATAAAGTGATATAATTAATCTCTATATAACATGATGTGTCTTTATAATTGATTTAATTTTAAATATATTAATTTATATAAAAAATATAAAAAAATGACATAAATTAGAGTGATAAAATTAATTAAAAGTCCTTTTTTTGTCACAATGACTTGTGTTTTTAGATTTTTTTAATTAACCTGAATATCCAATCCACTATGTAAGCTGACTAAGTCCAAGATGATCACCAGTGAAAGTTACCGCATTTGGACTGGTCACAAGGGTTTTTTTTAATTTCTCCTTAGATTCGAATCTGGGGTATATAGACATTTTTGACCTTTCTAGACTAAGCTCAAACCAATCGGAAACCATCCTTATAAATGGAATCAAATCTAAAATACTGTTAAGAATGAAATTATAATACTTACTTGATGAACCTGTTGTAAGCAGAAGGAACTCTCTGGCGCTTCTCTGGAGCTGTAAATAGAAGACAAATATAACGACAAAATAAACAGACACAACATTAAAAATCTTTTGGTTTCTGACTGTTTTTTCTAGTCTCTCTCTCTCTCTCTCTCTCTCTCTCCCCACTCTCTCTTATCATAACTTCATCATTATCTCTATCCATCAACATTCTAACCATCTTACATTCCGGGGGGAGACACCCTTTCTAACTTCATACACATGCAAATTAAACCCGGAAAACAAGAGGGAAAAAAAGGATCAAATACTAAGTTTATACCATGAAACTGTGATCAAACGATGCTGTGATCTATGAGAGTTACACCTTTCTTCATCCATGAACAAAAGGGCTCTTTGTTAAGTGAAGTGTTTGGTGAATTCTTCCGAAGATAGAAAGCATGGATGGTCAAGTTTAGGGCTATTGTTAATGGGCTACTGTAAAAGAAGCTTTCATGAAAAATATTAGGGTTTAGTAGTTGATTGTAATGGTTGATGAGTAATGTATCTCAGTCCATAAGTTACAGAAAAAAAGTTGCCTTTTTGGTGGTACAAGATTAACATATTGAGCAATAAAGAGGGAAGGTGATGATGTAAAAGCTAAAGAAAGAGAGTTCTACATACCAAATCCAATAAATGCTTAAGACACCGTTTAGGTGTAAGCTTTTGGAAGTACAAACTCTGAACTATTTTTATAACTTTCTTGATTCACTCAGAAACTAACTGATTTCTTCCCTTTATATCAAGAAAAGAATTAAAAAAACAGAATCTTTAATCTTCTTTTGATTTACTTGAAGATGTTAAGGAACTGTTCATGTGAAAGAGATCTTGAAAAGAAAGAAAAAGAGACAGCGAAATCTTACGTCTGTTCACTACAGGAGGCTTGAGAAGCTCATCAACTCGAACGGGTCCGAAGGGCTCTGGAATCGGCTGATTCATCAACAGGTTGGAAGGGGTGTTTCTCATCTCCTCCTGAAGTTAAAGAGAAATAGATTTACATTTCAAAGAAGTGGGTAGATCTAAAAGTCCATAGCTTAATGTATGAGCAGCAAAACTTGTGACTGTTTCAAGAAACCCTAGTTTCCATAACATACATCAAGAACCGAAAAAAACCCTGAAACTATTGCACTAAGAAATTGTATAAACCTAATGCAAGATACACTAACCCCGTATCCTTTTTAATTCAAGTGAAAATCTTGGTAGGGTAAACGTCCTTTACATTTGAATTTGGATTCACCTCTCTGGTCCACCTTCAGACATACTATGATGTGTGCATGATGCGTATACACACACTTATAGAGGGAAAGAACGGGAGAGAGAGAATTAGGTCACCTGCTACAGGGGCAAGAAGGAGAAACACAACGGGACTACATGTTTCTTAATTGCTTACAATGAATTTTTCATCACTGGATGCCGCTTATTCGAGGAGAAGGATGATCTGCTAATTAGGTCCAGGTTTTCTTTTTTCAAAGACTTATGTATGAAAGTTAATTGAAAATTGTACCATAATGTTTTGAGGAGAGAAAAAATGATGTCCAAGATGGAGTTGATTTGCAGCGGCAGCAGCAGCCGAAGCAGGAAGAAGATGAGCACGCATGTTAACTGACAAAAGATTGGTGCAGTGCCCACATCGGACCGTAACAGTTGTGAAAAGACTGCTGCAAGGAACACTCACCTACAATACCAAAACCAAAGAAACCATAAAGATCCACTTCCTTTAGAAAGCAAACTATATATACAAAATAACATATAGTTAAAGATTATGATGACCCAAAAGAAGATATGTATTGTAAAGACAGTGGGATGTATACCGCGAGGATGGTCTCACAGAACTTGCACTGGACATAACAGAGCTGCTCCGAGGGAGGAGAGAGGTGGTGTTGGTGGTGGTGGTCCGGTGAAAAAGCAGCCGAAGATGACATGTTCTTCTTCTTCTTACTTTTACTCTTTCTTCTCTCTCCTCTTCTTTTTGATCTTTTCTCAGAGTCTGATTTGATTGATTGATGAGATCGGGTGGACAATGTATATGGATTGATTGTGTTTGGGGATCTGGCCTTCTTGTGTTTGTGTGTGTTCTCAAAGACAAGTGAGAAGGAAGTTACAATGGAGAATGTGAGAGAAAAGAGGAGAAAGAGAGACCCACTGCATAATATAGCACTTGTATTAATCAAACCCCACAATTTTCTTTCTGTTTTTGTTTTTTTATATAATTGTTGTTGTTTTTTTTAATAAATGGGTAATGAATGTTGTATTCTAACCCTTGTTTTTTCTCTCTCCCAAATCATTAATTTGAGTTGGATATTTTGTGAGGTTCACATTGCACACCTTGTACATTTGTTAGGTTAATTATTTTGACCCTCAAGACACATGCAAGAAAAAGTAAGTAGATACAGTTTTTAAATAACATGCTTCTATAAACTGAGCTATTGATTACATACAAATGTTGTCATAAGTAATCATAGCAAAATTAAGAAATTAAACTAAGAAAATAAGGGGTTAAAAGAAGACATGATTGTATCTGATGAATGTGAGTGATATAATAGTAAAAATATCATAAAATTGGTTGATCAATTTCTGTATATCATGCCATAATACACAAGGGTTTTTTGTCCCATATGCTTGGATCTGTATATAATTAAAGAGTATCTATTGAACATTGTACATATTTATGAATATATATTGCGATAAGATATATCTAGGTTACATTTGTACAACCTATACAACTCAATCTCAACCGTCCATTTTGATGAATATGTAATTTCATAGAAGTTTTTATTGTTTCTTAATATAAAGTATTGATTCATAATTAATGAACCGTATTCATCTTCCATAAATATTTAAATCATAATAAATAAACTCTCATCATTTCCATAAATATTTTAATTTCTTGGGTTGCATTGGTTGTACAAATGCGATGAGTTGCATTTGAAACAAACACACACACACACTCTCTCTCTCTCTCTCTCTCTCTCTCTCTCTATATATATATATATATATATATATATATATATAGGGGCCTAATCAAATGAGAACTGATTAGTTTGTGGTAACTGTGAGGTTCAATCTGAACCACAAATCAACGGATAAATTAGGAAATTAATAATTATGGTAGTTTGAGTTAAAATTATAATTAGATGACATATTAGGTATTTCTAAAAAACTTCTCTCTCCTCTCTCATCTCTCCGACCTGCAATCTCCGGCCTCCGGTGAAATCGGTATATCACAATGGGTATCACATTGTGTATTACAAAGGGTATCACATTGTGTATCTTTGTTTTTAAGGTTTGAGTTGGTATCACAATGATATCACAGTATATCACAATGGGTATCACATTGTGTACCTTTGTGATTACTTGATACCTGCCGGATCAATGTTCACCGGAGGCCGGAGATTGGAGGTCAGAGAGATGAGAGAAGAGAGATGAGTTTTTTAAAAATACCTAAAATGCTCTCTAATTATAATTTTAACTCAAACTGCCATAATTATTAATTTATTAATTTATCCGTTGATTTGTGGTTAAGATTGAATCTCACAGTTACCACAAACTAATCAATTTTCCCTTGAATGAGCCCCTATATATATATATATATATATAGACTTGGGATCATGTGAGACCAAAGGTTTTTCGTGAGACCCGTAAGACCAATTCTAAACCATTGGATTAGATCTACAATCTGACAATCTGAACATTCATAAACGCCACGAGACTTCTCAATGATCACAAAATTGTCACCGTGCAACTTTAGACCATTAGATCATTAACTTATAAAGTTGATCAATGAACATAAATTGGTCTTATAGGTCTCATGAAAAACCATTGTTCTCACATGATGAAAAACCATTGGTCTCACATGAACCCAACCCTATATATATATATATATATATATATATATATATATATATATGAGCGATCAAATAAAAACCGCCTCCATTTGTGTAAACCGTTTAAACCAATCTCATCCATTCATTTTTTCTTGATCGATGGTCAAGATTAGTTTAGTTTATTTTAGGAAATAAAGAAAATATATTAAAACTTTATTTTTATATCAGCAATAAGGGCAAAATTGTAAACAAAATACATATTCTCTAACATCTCATGAACCAGTTTCACCTTTATGAAATCTGTTTCATGTACATTAATTTTTTGATTTCACTCATGATTAGATGAATTCATTCCTTTAAGCCTTACAATCTTCAAGATTCTGGAGCAGATTACAATCTTCAAGATTCTGGAACAGATTCATCATGTACCCGTTTCATCATGCAATTATTTCATGACGAACCAAATACATTATGCACCCGTTTCACTACTCATTGTTCAATTACGCCATGAACCAGTTTCACCTTCATGAAACCTGTTTCATGTAAATTAATTTTTTTATTTCACTCCTGATTTGATGAATTCATTCATTTAAGCCTTACAATCTTCAAGATTCTGGAGTAGATTACAATATTCAAGATTCTGGAGCAGATTTATCATGTACCCGTTTTATCATGCAATTATTTCATGACGAACCAAATATATTATGCATCTATTTCATTTTCCATTTCACCTACTATGGATCAACTACACCATCAATGAAACGTGGTTCACCATGAAACCAGTTCACTACTCATTGTTCAATTACGACATGAACCAGTTTCACCTTTATGAAACCTGTTTCATGTACATTAATTTTTTTTATTTCAATCCTGATTTGATGAATTCATTCCATTATGCCTTACAATCTTCAAGATTCACCAGCAGATTCAATCGCATCACAATATATCAAGTTCAAATTTTTAATACTATAATGTAATTAATTATTTAAATGTTACCATTTATAAAATTTCTTTTACTACATTTCCTTAATTAAGATTTATTAATAATTTCCATATTTAATAGAAAATATTGTAATGACCGAAATACCCTTATTGACTAAATTTAATTAGAAAAAAAAATGGAATTTTTCTATTTGTCGAAATTAGTTTACACGGTTTCTTAGAAATGCATGGTTTTCATTTGAACGTGCCTCTTTCTCTCTCTATATATATGGTGATTTCTTTTGTTAAGAAACAAATACAAATTACGAAGCATCTATGATCTACACAAAAAATTTAGTAATTAGTCATTATCATTAGTACCACACCACATATACCACTAATTTCTTAAGATGTTAATGGAACTCAACATTAATCATGCAAGGATTAATGTGGTAAACAAAAAGGTTAGTGGGATAGTGGTTGAGGTCGAGGAGGATGTGGTGAAATATCTCATCCGTCTTGGGTTTAATTTCAGACGTCCACGACAATTGTGGCTATTGAGTTTCTCAGAACTGGTATCTTATTCAAGGAAATAGAAAATTAATCCTTTTACCGATCACTATCGAGTATTGTAAAACATACACATTCATAAAAATCCCAATTCCTTAAATTCTTGGTGTTAGGGTAATAAGGAAAATGAGGATTTTTTTTTATCTATATTGCTCTAAGCATCTAACAGATTTTCTATAATGTTCTCTAAAATAGAGAAAACATGAAAAATTTATAAGTTTAGAGAATTTTTTAAAACTTGATGTAGGAAAAAATGATTATTTTATTAAATTCAACCAGTATGGTTGAATTATTATTATTTTATATAACATTTTTTAGAAAAAATAGAATGATAAAATTAGAGAATATTATAATAATATAAGTTATGTTGAAATCTCTAAAATATAGAATAAGTTGAAGTTGAATATAATATTTTTTTAAAGATTCAAACTTTTGGTTCTCTATCAGGGTTAACAAGGAAGTCAAAGCAATATCCTCAACCTAGAAAGAGAAATCCTAGATCTTCTTTTTCTTCTTAAGAACCCGAAGGCGAACTAATCCGTCTTAGGAGAGTATTTTATGACTTGACTGTAGCTCGGAGGCTTCTTGCAATCGATCTAGTTGGTAAGAAATAAGATCTTTGTATACTTAATGAACTAAACCAAAACCACTATGTTAGATCTTGTCTGTAACCCCTAGGCTCGTTATTTGAGAGAGAAACCCCCACTATCGATTGTGGCCTTCATTGAGTGCATTTTTGGCTCTTTGACATAGTAAGTCGGGAAGTCATGACTCATGAGCAAGACACCTTACAATGCCTTTCACAACTCAAATCCATGCATATAAAAACAGTTGGAGATGATCTGATGTCTTGTGGCTTAAATAACAAAACTTATTTTTGAATTTAACAAACAAAAACTTTGGACAATATTATAGGAGCCTTGGTGAGACCATTGTGTTTTCCAAGTCATGGTTTATTTTTCATGTATTATAATATATATATATATATATATATATATATATATATATAATACATGAAAAATAGAATTATATATTTCTATCATATTCATAAAGAACGTGCAAAATATATTATATGAAAAGATCATAAAAATATGTTCCAATGTAATAAAAAGTGATGTATAAATTAAGTATGTTGGGCTAAATGTATGAGATAAAAGAAACTAAAGTTTATTAGATAAGATTAGATGAATGTTTGATTTAAGGGATTTTAAAAATTAAAATATAAAACACTAGAAAAGTTAAAGGTGTGAATTTTGTACCATTTTTTAAAAATTAAAAAAATGGTCGAGACGACGGGATTAGATTTCTCAGTAGCAAACAAAATGATGTGATTAAAGATAACAGATTTTTGGCTATTACTGGAAAAGGGCGCCCGATTAATGCCTGATGCATGATTATTAACGTCTATGCCCCCAGGAGATCAACAATAAAAAGCAGATGTGGAGCCAAATTTCAGGCATGGTGCAAGGCAACTCAGACACGGTTTGGATTATTTGTGGTGACTTCAACGATGTGCGTTATCCAAAGGAGCGAAAGGGTTCTCGGTTCAGGGCGATTAGAGCTGTATTGGTGATTCATTATTTCCTTGTACCTTGTTGAATTAAACCTTGGTGACTTATACTTGGATGAAGAAAGATAGGTCCAAGCTTAGCAAGCTTGACCGACTTTTTGTTTCCAATAACTTCAGATCATTGGCCCAATGCGTCTTCATTTGTCCTTCAAGATTGCATCCAGACCACTGCTCTATCCTCCTGGATACGAACAGCTAGATTTTGGTCCAGTCCCATTTTTTTTTATTCTTGGTTA